CTGTTGACCGAGAGGAGCGGGAGGAAGGTCGGAGCGCTGCAGCCCCGCCCGCTCGATCGCTCGCTCCCTGCCCGAACCTGCGGCCAGCGATCTTCCGCGGAGTGCTGGTCCGTTCTGCAGCCAGGCGGAGGGACCGGCGGCTGCGCAAGGTGCAGGAGCTGAGAGGCTTGAGTGCCAGCGGCATTGGATCGGCGGTGTTGCGGTGCCGGCGGTTGTGCGGAGGAGATGTGCGCGGCGGGGAGGCGCTGGGGCCGGCGGCAGCGAGCTCTGCTCTGCGCCGTCCTGCTGGCGGCGTGGCAGGCGGCGTGGGGGCAGCTACGCTACTCGGTGCCCGAGGAGATGCCCAAGGGCTCCTTTGTGGGCGACGTGGCCAAGGACCTGGGGCTGCAGCTGCCGGAGATCCGAGACCGCGGTGTTCATATCTTGGACAAAGGTAGGACGCAATATTTCGCTCTGCACGGGAAGACGGGACATTTAGTGACAGCGGCGAGGATCGACAGAGAGCAGCTGTGCGAGGAAGTGCAGCAATGCGTGATGCGCTGTGAGCTGGTAGTAGAGGGAAAGATGCAGGTTTATGTGATCCAAGTGGAAATCTTGGACATTAATGACAACGCGCCGAGCTTTCGAGAGGCAGAAACAGAGCTGAAAATGATCGAAACGACAGCCCTGGGATCGCGGTTTCCCCTGCCAGACGCTCACGATCCTGACTCGGGCCGGAATTCCCTGCAGAGCTACGAGCTGAGCGGCGACGAGCACTTCTCGCTGGCCGTGCAGGCGGGCCCCGGCGGCGATCAGCGTCCCGAGCTGGTGCTGGCCAAGGCGCTGGACCGGGAGGAGGCGGCGTTTCACGAGCTGGTGCTGAGGGCGAGCGACGGCGGCGATCCGGCACGGACGGGCACGGCTCGGATCCGCGTGACGGTGCTGGACGCGAACGACAACGCGCCCGTGTTCAGCCAGGCGGAGTACACGGTGCGTGTGCCCGAGGACGTGCCCGTGGGCTCCGTCCTCGTCACTGTCACGGCTACGGACGCCGACGAGGGGCTGAACGGACAGATGAAATACTCGTTTAAGAAAATCACAG